GGTCTTCTTCTTGGAGGCCTTGCTCTTGGATTTTCCTCCGGCCATGACAGCGTTGCTTACCAAAAATTGATGAAGAGAGTGATATTTGATTAGGAGATAAAGAATTGGAGGAAAATTGTGATTAGAAATGGTAGGATATGATGTATATTTATAGGAGAAGGGAGAGAACCGTGTGAAATTTTAAAAAACTAGCTGTTGGGCCATTAAATGTGGTTCCAACGGTTAAATTTTTTTTGAAAAACTGCAGGCTCCCATCGATGGTATGATCTAACCATCGATGGGATGATCACCACTGGAAAGCACGGAAGAAATTAAGGCTGCCTTCCCATCGATGGTCAAAGTCACCCATCGATGGGAGGGTGGCTACTGGAAATCCGTTAAAACGTTTTTTAAAAAAAGAAGTGTCAAACACCCATCGATGGGAGAAAGTTACCATCGATGGGATGGGAGGTTCTGAAAAAAAAAAATTTGATAAAAATCCTTCACCCAGCGATGGGATAAAGTACCCATCGATGGGTTAGGGTGCTCTGGAAATCCGTTAAGTATTTTTTTTTAAAAAAAAATAGAGTCAATTACCCATCGATGGGAAGAAGCACCCATCGATGGGAAGAGGGGTTCTGGAAAAAGTAAACTTCCCTCCCAGCGATGGTATAGCCTACCCATCGCTGGTTCCCCCTGATTTCCAGAATTCTTCACTTCGAACCGTCCTTGCAAAAAAGAGTTAGAAAACCCTCCGACGCTCAAGTTCGTAAATGTTCCAGTAACAAAAAAAAGATAAAATGCAAAAATTAGATCATCGTGGAGTCAAGGATTCCGAGTTCGCTACGAATGCGGAAGAACGACTCTTTCTCTAAAGGTTTTGTGAAAATGTCGGCTAATTGGTTGTGTGTTTCAACAAACTCAATTTCGACATCACTTTTGAGAACATGATCTCTAATGAAATGGTGCCTAATGTCAATGTGTTTCGTCCTTGAATGAAGAACAGGGTTCTTCGTCAAGCTAATGGCGCTAGTATTGTCACAACGGAGAGGAACGTGACTGATACTAAGGCCATAGTCCACGAGTTGTTGCTTCATCCAAAGGATTTGAGCACAACAACTACCGGCGGCAACGTATTCCGCTTCGGTTGTGGATAACGCAACACTGACTTGTTTCTTGCTAAACCATGAAACTAAAGAACTAC